CTTGAGCCACAGGCGCTGAGCCACTACTCTAAGTTTTAAATGTGCATTGGATATGATCCCAAAAGAAAATATCTAGAACATATATATATGTATTTTAGAGATAGAGTCTTGCTTTGTTGCCCTCAGTAGAATGCTGTGGCATCACAGCTCACAGCAACGTCCAGCTCCTGGGTTTAGGAGATTCTCTTGCCTCAGCCTCCCGAATTGCTGGGACTGTAGGCACACACCACAGTGCCCAGCTATTTTTTTGTTGCAGTTTGGCTGGGGCCAGGTTTGAACCAGCCACCCTTGGTATATGGGGCTGGTGCCCTATTTACTGAGCTACAGGCACCCCCCAAATATCCAGAATATTAAAACTTCAATTTTTAAAGACTGTGGGTTGAGCTACTTGGGAGACTGACGCAAGAGAATAACTTAAGCCCAAAAGTTAGAGGTTGGCTGGGTGCCTGTGCCTCAAGCGGTTAAGTCACCAGCCACAGATACCTGAGCTGGTGGGTTCGAATCCAGCCTGGGCCCGCCAAACAACAATAATGGCTGCAACCAAAAAATAGCCAGGCGTTGTGGCAGGGACTCCCAGTAGTCCCAGCTACTTGGGAGGTAGAGGGAGGAGACTTGCTTGAGCCTAGGAGTTGGAGGTTGCTGTGAGCTGTGATGCCACAACACTCTACCCAGGGGGACAGCTTGAGGCTCTGTCTCAAAAAAAATAAAATAAAATGCCACCTAAATACCAAGTAGAAATAATTCTTTACTCATCAAAGTCAAAATGAAAAAGAATTATAACAGCCAGCACTAGAAGGAATGTAGTAAAAGAAACACACTGGCAGCAATACAAACTGATATAAAACCAATTTGGCAATAATCTATCTACTGATACTATTTGACTCAAAAGATTACTTCTAGAAATTGTCCTAAACATAGAAAAGTTTTATGTATAAGACATGGTCTAGGCTCGGCGCCTATAGCTCAACCGGCTAAGGCGCCAGCCACGTACACCTAAGGTGGCGGGTTCAAATCCCCAGCCCGGACCCGC